CTACCCTACCCTACCCTACCCTACCCTACCCTACCCTACCTTACCCTACCCTACCCTACCCTATCCTCGGCATCGTGTCATCGGCTACATGTCATAACAACATGGCGTTAACTAAAGTGTAGAGGATGGTCAGGGGGAAGTACTTATGAATGTAATTCTTTGTCTCTTTACAGCTGGAGCAAAAATCTCCCAAAATGATTACGAGATGAATCCTCAAAAGAGACATTCGGTAATTGAGCTGATAGCAGAGAATGAACCTGGACCGTCTAAAATAGCTGCAACTGATAAAATTACTCTGGATGAAGTTAATGAAACTCGTAAGGAAAGCTTATCATAACGTTGACGGCGCAAGTAAATCTTGTTTAGTACATCCTTTTAATTAAGCGCCTGTATAAAATAGTCACTGTTATCATGTCAGGTTCAAGTGGGTGAGCCATGACATACAAAAAACTATTTTTTTCAAAACCTAAAACTCCCATAGCTTCCACTAGATAAATTATGAACGCTCTCTTAGAGCTTTTATCAACGAAAACAAAGTAGACAAAAATGAAAACTAGATTATTTAACCATAATCTTATAATTGAAAACTTGCACTAAGAGAAAAGTTTCGTTACTTTACAGAAGTCCATAAACCAAAAGAGGACATTTCGAGTGTTAACGAGGACTCGAGTGACGAGTCTTCATACTGTAAAATAAATGACGCATACGAAAACCAAAGTGATGTGGAGCATAAGTATGAAGAACGTCCTATTAAATCAAATATTGGGAGCCCCAACTGCGTTGGTGATGTTGAAAATAGTTTTAAAGTAAGTTCAGGGTTGTTTAATAAAGGCCTAGAAGAAGATGAAGACAAAACTGCAGAAAAACCAAGCGATGATCAAGATGAGAACGAGAAAGACTCCGCATCCGATTCTGACGAAGATCAATGTAGTTTGGTAGTAAATACTAATGAAGATCAGCCTACATTCAATGACGAACAGGGTTCTCCACCATCACCTTTATCCACCTATAATGAAGCAAAAGAGAACGAGAAGGATTCCGCATCCGATTCTGACGAAGATCAATGTAGTTTGGTAGTAAATGCTTCAGTTTCCCCATCGCTATCCTTTTCGTCCGACTTTGATGTAAAGTTTAAACCAATTGGAATCGAAAATCCTAATGAATATCAGCCTACATTTAATGAAAAACAGGGTTCTTCACCTTTATGCACCTATAATGAAGCAGAAGATAATCCACTGCCTTTTGACAATCCATTTCTCATCGAGGAAGAAGAAAACGACTTAAACAAGCCTTGCAGCAAGCTAAATGATGATAATAATGATACAATAGGAACACCTCCTTCAACTCCATCGAGTTTCGATTTTGGTCTGCCGTTGAATGTCTGGTCTACGGATTCTCAAAAGTCTTCTCCATCATTACCAAAGAAAGATCCCGAAGAAGATAAAGATTCTGATGATACAGCAAATGGATCTTCTTCGTCGAACAAAGACAAGGAGTCGGGCATCAACTTAGATAATTCGGAGTCCGAATCAGCCCAACCTGATCCAAACACAGACGCACATGTTGAAGACAGTGAATTGAACGAAAATGATGATGTATGCGAATCGGGTTCTGATGTTTCATCAGAGAATTCGGAAAAGTTTATGGAATATGACTTACTGGACATAGATGTGGAGGAACTGGAGAAGGAAGGAGAGAATAACGTAGCATTTAAAAGATTTAAAAAAAGGGATTCGTTTACCATTTAAAAATAGACCCGCTGTCATTTAAAAACTAATATGATATCTATAAGCTGAAGAATTCAAAGTACCTATCATCTTTCTGACAATATTCACAGGTATTGATTCTGCATGGGGTAAGCTGTTGAATAACCCGGAATAAATATTTGTAAATTTTAATACGGCCTCTATAAAGGTTTTTCTATGCCATATGTTAATGCTGTGACGTATGAGCAGGCATTTATGGTTATTTGTTGTTCCTTGTAATTCCAAACACTGGCTTCTATGTGAAAACGAACTTGCAAAAATTTCTATAAGAGCAATGGGGAAAACAATGACGTATTTCAAATTTAATTTATCTCAGTGCCAGTAGGGTTTTTGTATATTAAATGATTACTCCTCATACGTCAAACCATTTATCGGTCTGTCCTCTTATTGATGAGTTGTTGTAAAATTCGCTTTCTAAACAACATCGAATTGGAATGTTTTGTCTATTCCTGGAGTTCAGTTTTGTACATAACTAACTAGTAACTTGGTTTAAGAGGGTTGGGTCAAATGATCTACCTTCATTTTCCTGTTATGCGTGGTTGGATGCTAAGCCAGTTTAAAAAGTAAGTCGCATTCGCTTGAAGAGAACCCACGCCTCTCTCGTTTTAGCAACCTCCCGCATGCATACACAGCTAAATAAATGTGATCAAGCGCCGATTTGAAAATGTTATTATTGTAACAAAAATGATATCGAAAGGAGTTCGAATATAGATACAGTTCATGTAAGTTGAATATAGATACAGTTCATACAAATAATCTTATTTTCAAGAAAATGACATATATAGGATAGGGAAAAAAATACTCCATAAGGGTCTATCATATTATTTTTTTTTTAGCATCTAATTTTATCCTTTTTAATTAACGAAGTCAAATACAAACAGCTGTTTAGAGGAAGTTAAAATGATAAATAATTAAGTACAAAATTCACAGTGCGCAATTATTTTAATTAGACAAATTTTATGGTTCTCTCTTCTTTATTTTGTGCTTTTTGACTAACCAATTAGGAGATCTCTTTCCTATTTCTTCGGGGTTTTCAGCATCCGTTAAACTAAAGTAGAATACTAACTCGTTCGAGAAAAAAAATCGATTCTTTAAGGGATTAATAATAAAAAATGGTAATTAAGACTTCAAGGGGTCCAATTAGGTCTAAAATCATACGAGTGATTAACAAAATTGGCCGACCGCGATAGCGAGACTTCGAGTTTTATGAAGGGAATAAAACCGAGAAAAAAAAGTGTTTTCCCCCGCTCTAAAATGAATAACAAACGCTGTGATTATTTGAATTTTATTTCTGTGGTGCCACAATCATTAAAATATACCGTTGTTGACAAAGTATTTTATCAGGATTTAGTTAATTAACAAGCTCAAATATTTTTTTTTAAAGATTAAATTATTCATAGCGGCACATGCAAGGTCGAGGACACTACCATTTTGCTTAGATCAATACATTTTGCTCATGTGTTATAGCAAAGGTCCGTGGAATCTCCAAGTATTGTTGAAGTTGTGCATTCTTTACTTTACCGTTGGTATTTTGTGAATATCTAGACACTGAAATGAGGCTAGCCCTAAGGAAATCATATACACCATTCAAACCAAGGCATGTTTTAAAGTAGTTTAACTAAATAGGTTTGAAAAACTATCTACGAAATAACACGGCACAATATTTGGTAAAATAATGCATGTAAACTATCCTTTGTCTTGCTCTGACAATATTTTAGAAAGTTTCATTATAATTTAGGTTTCTAGTTTCTCAATTTTTTTCCTAATGAAAAAAAGAAGTTTAACTAAACACGTTTAGGTGTGAATAGGATATAAGTATCCCTTTGCAAACAGCAAACGCCCACCAACCTGTCATGGAGTGGCTCTTGAGTTGCAAAGTAGATATTTTTGGAAGCTTACTTAGCTTTAACAACAACTTTTCTTTTTACTTTTTTTAATTGGTGCAAATATGGAAATGGTCAACGTTAATGTATCCCCATTCTTTAGTCCCCACGTCAACGATTCGCAGCTGAGCCACCTGGCCAAGGTATCTTGTGACGTCAAACGTTTTCGGCTTCATGCTATTCGTATCATCCAACGAGGAAGCTTTGGCAACAAGTGCTACACCAATCTGAAGCTCGACCCATTCATAGCTACTGTTGGACCCACCTCCAATCAGAAACGTTAGCGACGGAGCCTGGATTACAAACTTGTGTGACGTCATCGTGCCTGTAGGTCTATTACCTTGTTTTGCTCCAGCTGGATGAGAGGGACTGGGGCGATTTTCGTATGTTCCTATGTACCAGTCTCCTTTTAGATTTGCAGTCTGTGAACTATTTCTAACCAGGCTATTGTCACCGTAGGTTGGTTGGTTATTGAAGGCGGTTCCTGTGCGAGTCCAACCCGTTAATCCGTCTTCGAAGTCAAAGAGTATGCATCCTGTATAGTGATCATTGAGAGCAAAAGCAATAATCTTCGTTGAATTTTATTCCCTTTCCTTTCCTATCCTTTCCTTTCCTTTCCTTTCCTTTCCTTTCCTTTCCTTTCTTATTTTGATAAAATTGTTTATTTAGCAAAAGCTATTCCATCCTCGCTCCCGAAGCAGACCCTCAACGCTCAAATGATGTGTCCCAGCATTTTGTAGCTTCGTTGAAATATTATGGCTAATTCAAAACATCTTTCCTATGACGCGTCTTGACAACGGTTTTTCATGCCCAATTTTATAGTCAGTCAAATTAATAATCTCAATTAGATAATTGCTTGTCTTACCTGCCCTCTTGCAGTTTATTCCTGTAAAGCCTTTGGTGCAGTTACATATGTATTTATGACCTCTATCATCGGCTATGCAGTCCGCTCCATTCTGGCAAGGATTTGGTGAACAGGCAGTCTACACGAAGCAAATTAGGATAATGTGTTAAAAGGAAAGATCTATGGATACTTTACCATGTCAAATCTGATTTTGTCCAACTAATAGAGTCAAAAAACAAAAGCTTATGTTCGCGAATACACCTGCATGTAAGTGTGTTTCTCATAAACTTTTCATTCGAGGTTTTTATTTCAAATAAAAGCAAAGTGTTTGAATCTTAACTAAGTGTAATTAAGTTAATTGCTAAAAGCAACTAAAAAGCGAAAAGGTGGGTTCGCAATAGCGATGTTCAGTAGGTCTTGAGTATACATTGGTTGTACTTTGGGTGTAAACGGTGTCATGGTCTGCTCAAGCAATATACCTAATAGTTATGGTAACGCCGCTGCCTCTTCAAAGGAACCGATGTACGTTTCTAAGTATCCCTTATGCAAACAGCAAACACCCACCAACCTGTCATTGGGTGGCTTTTGAGTTGCAAAGTAGATATTTTGATTGACGCACACAACATAAGTAAATACTTAGGAAGCTGGTGTGAACTCGTGTTTCTCTTAAGTAAAGACGGTTCCTCTAAATAATACTTTGGTACCATAATACTTAAGGCCTACCTTGGAGCCAGTGTGAACCCACCTACTAAAAAGCAATAGTTATATGAATCCTTGTCCTAATCTTTCAAGACCGTGGCAAGTCAAATTAAGACAAAACAAAAAAACAAAAAAAACTTAGAAGTACTTTTTATAAATAAAGCAAAACTTTTTGTAAAAAAGCTTTTATGATGAAAGCTTTAAATTATCTTCAAATTCCAAAAAAAAATTTTTTTTGGCTTAACTAAATGTAAATAATTTATAAATTGCACTTCCAAAATGTTGTACTTAATGACAACGCAAGCAATTCTTTAATTTTCAATGGAATGATTTCTGCCCAAATTACACCTTAGCCACTCTTCTAGGTCTACTCCCTAATTAAATATTTAAGTCTAAATTAAGTCCGTTTAGGTTAATTAGCTTGTGTTTTGAGGCTTTAAGTGAATGTAGTGCACCAACTGAGTTGCAAAAGGATATAGAAAAATAGGGGAAGTCTTCTAGCAAGAGGCTAATGTTTGTTAATAGGACATACACTCCACACTCTCTACCAGTATATTTAAAATGCTATGCACGCAATATCACCTTATGTGTTAAATTTTACGCATGAAAAATAGTTTTGCCACGATTTCATGCGTGCAGTATCTAGTTTTAGGAGACCTAAGAGCGACTATTCGGCGAGGTTTCTCTCAAGATCATTAATTTTGCAAATATCAATCCAAATTCGATCATGGAATGAGGGCCACTAGCTCCTAAAAGCTACCCTCGTAAAACAAGTACGATGTTATACAGCTCGAGCGCATTTATACTGATAGAAAATCGGAAAATGCAGTTAAAAAGGGATGGTGTAAGTTGAAATGCTCCGACTCTTGTTGTTGTGTTCAGTCGTTGGTACGATCCTGGGACTTGCGCGCGTTTGCCAGTTTTTTTCCCGCCTTTTTTTTTCGCACATAAAACCAATTCAATCTACTTGCGTTGAAAGCTTTGACACAAGCCTGTAGACGGGGAGATTAAATAACCACTCCCTGCTCTGACCAAAGGGAAATTTAAATTGGGTTTTCTCATAGAAAAAAGGAATTCAACGGACGCTGAGCTCGAGCAACTTAGTATTTTTGCCCCTAGAAATGTTAAATTCTTTAGTTAACCCTAGCTTTTTTCGCATAAACCGGTCCCAAAAATGTCACTCAAAAAATGTAGTTCAACTTACCACTAGCATCAGGGACTTAGAGTTGGCTTTTCGCATTAAGTGGCTGTGGAAGGCCGTTCCTGCCCAGTTAAGGAGCTCACACTGCAGTTGATTTGGTTGATCAGAGTACAGGTTAATCGACAGACATTCTTTTTCTTTCGCACACGCTACTAAGCACTCATCTTCGGTTTTTGCTTTAAATCTTCTTAAAAAAGATCCACGTTTTTGTAAAATCTGGCCTTTCGCGATTTTCATGAAGTTACCAAAGCGAAATTCAATGACGGATTTTTTTCCGCTGGGTCTTTCGGCAGCATTCACTTGTGTTTGGTAAACCAAAATTATAAGTATTGGCAGTAGAAAGGATATTCCCGCCATAGCTTTTGTTACTGCTGTTCTTGCAGTACTAGGTTGGACTGATACATTATTTTCCTTGTTAGAATTTTTATACAATTTAATTTGTTGCGCATGCGCCAGATGGAAACGCCGACCGGTGTTGCTTCTCATGAAAATTTATTAGCCGTTCAGGAGCTGTAGACTAGTTATTTTATTACTACTCGATGGTTAACAAAAAAAAAACATCGATGATTAATAATTATTACTCAAAGGAGAATCGATTATCGGTGGAATATTCACCAAAAAATGTTCACTAGAATCTGTGAGATAAATGGTTTAATATGATTTTATACTTGAATATCAGAGAGAGGAAAGTTTTTCTTTTTCGTCAAAACAATAGATTGCTTTGACGTCATATTGACGTCATATGACGTCATAGTGACAATTTGGTATGTAAGGACCCCCCCCCCCCATTACAAATCCTGGATACGCCCCTGCTTCATTCATTCGGAGCAGATGCTATCCTCAAAGTGATCAACATTTATGTGTTCCCAACCACTACTCCCGTCATCCACTAGGCGCAGCTGAGCCACCTGGCCACGGTAACTTGTGACGTCAAAAGCATGTAACTTCATGGTTTCTACGTTGGTCTGTGAAGCAGCTTTGGCAACCACTGCTCCACCAATCAGCAGCTCAACCCTCTCCTTGTTAACGTCGGACCCTCCTCCAATGAGAAACTTTAGCGACCTACCACGGATCGTGAACTTAGGTGACGTCATCGTGCCTGTAGGGAAATCATCTTGTATTCCACCAGCTGGATGAGAGGGACTGGTGCGATTTTCGAATGTTCCTATGTACCAATCTCCTCTTTGTTTGGCGGGTTCTGCAGGTTTTCGAACCAGGCTATTGTCACCGTAGGTTGGTTGGTTATTGAAGGCGGTTCCTGTGCGAGTCCAGCCCGGTAATCCGTTTTCAAAGTCAAAGAGCACGCACCCTGTATGGATCAGTGAAATAAAACTTTTAATCCTTGTCTTAATTATTAGTAATCTTGACGTAAGACTCCCTACGTTTAGGTTTCACTGCGCATGCTCGACGAAATGTATTTCGTCGAGCATGCGCAATAAGAATGACAAGGCTTTGGGGTCGCGAGTGAATTTTTAATCATTAGAGAGTTTAAGACTCTCGTTTACGGCAAACGTGAAACGTCAGTTGACCATTAAAAAATTCTTTAAAATTAGTGAAAAGGAATCGCAAAAATCTCCAAGTAGTAGATAAACAAAAGAATACTTGTCTTCATCGAGAAGGTTTGCAAAAGGTTAAGTGAAATGTAGGGAAACGATGAAAACGTAGTCACATTTGCCGTTTGAGGGAAGGAAAAACGGGAATCTCAATCTGCCTATTATTAAGTTACTACTGCACAGGAAGCTCAGACAAGAGACTCTTGTATATTTTAAATATTGATTGAAAGTATTTTTCTGTTGTTAGCTTGCCATTTTTTTGCATTTTGTGCTTGTCTTACCTTCTGCCTTCTCGCAATTGTCTCCCGTAAAGGGTATGATGCAGCTGCAATTGTATTGATGCCCTCCAGAGTATGCTATGCAGTCTCCACCATTCTGACAAGGATTTGGTGAACAGGCAGTCTATACACAAAAAAATACAATGAAAAAGCTTGAAGGAATGAAAGCATGCTTTAGACCAGGACTAGCTTGGGCAAGTTGGACAAAATTATTGATATTTCAAAATAGGCTAATTGGAATTAGAGTATTGCATAAGAAAAACCTCAAAAATGGGTCCAGACGCAAACTACATTATTCATTCAGTCGAAAAACGCGATAAATTTTGAATAATCAAAATTGAATAAAAAATGATGAGCGAGCGAGAGAGAGAGACAGCCTAAGCGCTATTTTTGGTTACGACTCCTCTTAGTTACCGTTGCCATGCGCCACGAGCTCAACGAATCTGATCGCGAAAGTAATACTAGATACGTACTGGGTAGTTGTTTGTGGGACAAGATTTTAATTCTACTGTCAAAACTAGTACTGCAGCAAACAATGAGCAAACAAAGAAACGATAAAAATTCAAAAAAGAAGAAGAAAAAGAAGAAGAAGAAGAAGAAGAAGAAAAAGAAGAAGAAGAGGAACGACTTACCGCTAACATCATGGACTGAGAGTTGGCTTTTGGCTTTAAGAGGCTGTGGAAGGCCGTTCCTGCCCAGTTAAGGAGCTCACACTGCACTTGATTGGGTTGATCAGAGTACAAGTTAATCGACAGACATTCTTTTCCGTTCACACACTCCACCAAACACTGATTTTTGTCCTTCACAGTCATTTTGTTGATCACACTTCCATTTATCTCAAGTATCTGTCCGTCTGAGATGTTTAGGAAGTTGCCAAACCGGACTTCGCCTTTTTTATCAAATTTTGACTGAAGAGATTGTCCTGGTTTGAAGATAAACGATAACAATGGGACAAAAAGAAGCAGCTTTGCTGCCATATTTTTCTTAAGCCGGACGTGTTCGATCCATTTACAGATGGAACGTAATAAGGTTTCGGTTCCTTTTTTCATTAAATATTCATCAAGATTTATCGAAACAAATTTGCATGTCTTGATATTTACACATGAGACCGTTTTCGTTTATCAACAGTTTTTTCTTTCGTGGGATATTTACCCATTCCTGATTCGATCCGCGTTTGAATTGGGTTTTACTTGTCGTGCTTTCGAACGATCAGGTTTCTTACTTTTTTTACATTGTTTCCCATTATATAATTTAGATATAACTTGAAATTACAATCACAAAAATCTATTCAAGTATACATGAGCTACATTACAATATATTTTAATATTAAACACGTGAATTATTTTTTCCACTGAACAATTTTTTCGAAGATATATAATTCACATTTTTCAATATTTTTTTTGCAATTTTTTATTACGCCTTTTGAGTTTAAAGCTTGGAGTTCTTTCGTTCATGATAATCGTTTGCTTTTCGGCGCAAATAGCCGAGGCAGACCAAAAACTTTTAGATGCAGGTTAGGGATTATCGAATTAACGGTCTATACTCTGGACTCTATAGTTTATTATGCACAAAATTTAGAAAGTTTGCATTACAATTTACGGAAAATTACTCATAAAACTACCGGAGAGAAGAAAATACAGATAAATATTATATCTGAAATAATAAGTGCAGGTGCAGTGGTGATTAAATTAAAGCAGTATAGACTTTCGAGTTATCCCCTCTCTAACATACCGAATCTATATAGGGCGATCTTTATTTTTACCTCATTGGCAAAAAAAAAAAAAAAAAAAAAAAAAAAAAAAAAANAAAAAATTCAAGCTACAAGCAAACCGACTCCAGAAATCGAAAAAGAAAGTCTAATTTAGTAACTAAAAAAAAAAAATTCATGCTAATAAGAAAAAAGCAAAAAACGGCCTATAGCTAGTTACAGACAGAGTGATGGGAATGTTTAAAAGTAGATTATTCTTCGACTATTTCAGTCTAAATCTATTTCCTCCTCCAATATTGAAAATGTCAGTTTTTGTGTTTATAGTTTTTTGTGTTTGATGCACACTGGTCTTCCAGACAGTTCACATTATAGAGTTTATAATATAGTCGTTATATTATATTTATGTTCTAATTTTGTTTTGTCCTTGACAGGGAACATGAGGGAAATGGAAGCATAGCTTCCTTGATGTAAGATAACAGTTAAATTTGATTGCTTGGGGCGTTATTATTTACGGAGTTTTCTCAGACGAAGATCTGAAATGGACGATCTGACGCTGAACGTAATTAGAGAGTTTTAGATTGACTTTTTTTCCTCCCCGCAAACGGCAAACGTGACCACGTTTTCATAGTTTTCCTGTATTTTACTTTACCTTTTACAAACCTTCTCACCAAGCGCAAATACTCTTTTGTTTTTCTACTACTTGGACTTTTTTGCGATTCTTTTTCACTCATTTAAAAGAATTTTTTACTGGTCAACTGACGTTTCACGTTTGCGCGTGAACGTAAATCTAAAACTCTCTATTATTGTGCTCTTTTCTTCTGACTAAAAAGATCACATCACTCGAAGGTCATGCTTACTATCTAAAAGGAAGCTACGTTGTTCGACTGTGAATGTATTGGCATTTTGCAGCGTGTTACTCGGTCTCAGATTTCAGATTTCAGATCTCCGACCGAAAAAAATTAAATTTTCTATGAAATAGGAACATTTTCTTTTTTTTCGCGGTAATTAAATAAGTATTGCTTTTAATACTTCTTGCCTGCCTGCCTGCCTGCCTTCCTTCCTCCTTCCTTCCTTCCCTCATTCGGAGCAGATACTATCTTCAAAGTGATCTACATTGATGTGTTGCCAACTACCACTCCCCTCATCAACAATGCGCAACTTAGCCACCTGGCCATGATAGCTTGTGACGTTAAACGCGTGCGGTTTCATAGTTTCATTGAAGCTCTGTGGGCTCGCTTTGTCAACCACTGCTCCACCAACCAGCAGCTCAACCCGTTGCTTGTCCCTTTTTCCTCCGCCAATCAGAAACGTTAACGACTCACCTCGGATCGTAAACTTGGGTGATGTCATTGTGCCTGTAGGTTCATCACCTTGCTTCCCGCCAACTGGATGAGAGGGACTGGGACGATCTTCGAAAGATCCTATGTACCAGTCTCCTATTTGGTCTGCTCTTCGAAATTTAGCATTCTTACCGTAGGTTGGTTGRTTATTGAAGGCGGTTCCTGTGCGAGTCCAGCCCGGTAATCCGTCTTCAAAGTCAAAGAGAACGCATCGCTCTAGATCGATGTAAAGTGAATTTTTTTAATTTTAAATGTGAATGATCCTTTTATCTATCCGTACGTCAGTCCGTCCGTCAATCCTTTTATCCATCCGTCCATCCATCCGTACGTCCGCACGTTAATCCTGTTATTCTACCATCCCGCTTTCATCCTTCCAAAACGTTTATTACTATTTAGCTAGAGTAATTACTCTAAATTACATGGAATCCGCGCTTGAATGTTTGCCAAATTACAACCCTTGGAAATACAATAAAATTTATAACTTCATGCTAACTTGTCTTACCTTCTGCCTTCTCGYAATTGTCTCCCGTAAAGGGTATGATGCAGCTGCAATTGTATTGATGCCCTCCAGAGTATGCTATGCAGTCTCCACCATTCTGACAAGGATTTGGTGAACAGACAGTCTATGAAGAAGAAATATGAAGAAACTATATTCAAGATATATAGTTATGAATCAAAATTCAGTTTGTTCATCGGCGAAACGACGACACAAAWACATATCGAAAATGATTTACTATTTCAAGGTTATTCGTCAGCTAACTCGTAATTTTTAAGGCGTTGTTAAACTCCCTCATATTAGAATAACAAAAAATTCCCTATGTTTTATAAATGTTATGCGAGCATACWAAATCAAGCGGTATTCTACTTTATTTTACTTTATTTTTTTTACCTTGCTAATTAAAGATGACTATATTGTTGGCTTGAAAAATGAAATTTTATATAGTCACATACACGGCTCGCATTAGCATAGGTAATCGTATGGGACTGAATAAAATTAAGGATTCATTTCATGAGTGTTTTCAAAGTTTTGAAGGCCCGAGTCGCGAAGGCACCCTCCAGTAATTAGGCACTTAAGGAAAAAAGCTTTCCCTCATTGTGAGCATCGGGTAATTTCGCCCTGTATGAAGTAGTGTGTTTCTTCGAAAAGAAATGTGTCTCCTCGGCTCTGACAGGCATTGTTTTGGTATGACTAAACTTTATTCTGGCTCACAAACACTACTATTGTGTAGAAATACCACACACAAAAAAACAGGCTAGCGAAAGGCCAGGTGAAACCTAAAATGATCCAAGACAAAAATTACAATGTATGACAGGAAAAATTAAAGGAAAACAGCACAAAAAACTTACTGAAATTGCCCTATTTCACTATGACGTCACTGCTTGTTTATGTGGGGGATAGAATCCCCAAACCCAATAGAAAGTTCAACAAAATTTGCTCCTAGCGAAACATTTTAATGTAATATGGCCTGGTTTTCAGATATAATATGTGTTAATATGTACAAAAAAATATTCTGAGCGTTTGCTGGCTATTCTACTTCTCTTCGTGGATTGATACGGGTTTTAGAACAATTTTCGGTGAAATTGCGTTGATTTGATCCCCTCCGACGACCATGATCCTTTGCGTTTAAACAATAGATTGTTTTGATGTGAAGTCATAGTGAAATAGGGCAATTGCCAACACAGGATTCAAGCACGGCACACTACTTCGAGCACATGTTAAAACATATACCGCGCAAAGGATTACACGAAGTCAATGCAGAAAACGTGGAATAGAAACGCGGGAACTCTGGAGTTACTAACTAATACCCTTGTTGAGGATTAGCCTCAACACTGTATATGACAAGGAAAAAATAACTTTGTAACTCTCAATTCGTATTACTGAATACTGTTTGAATTAAAACGAAAGCCTCAAGTTTGAGGGGGTGGAAATAATAAGAAAGAAAAAGAAAGTAAATTTTCAAGAAAAAAACGAAAAAAAAAAGTGTTTTTTGAAACAGTTATATTTACCTCAAACATCATGGACTGAGAGTTGGCTTTTGGTTTTAAGAGGCTGTGGAAGGCCGTTCCTGCCCAGTTAAGGAGCTCACACTGCACTTGATTGGGTTGATCAGAGTACAGGTTAATCGACAGACATCGCTCCTCGCCCATACACCCCACCAAACACTGATTTTTGTCCTTCACCGTCATTTTGCTGATCAAACTTCCGTTTATCTCAAGAATCTGTCCGTCTGAGATCTTAAGGAAATTGCCAAACCGGACTTCGCCTTTTTTATCGAATCCTGCCCGAAAAGCTTGTCCTGATTTGCAAACAAAAGATAAAAATACAGCCCAAAGAAATTTTCTCATGATTCTTCCTGCTAGAATAGTTGATGCGACTGTTTTCAGACTACGAATTCTTATCGTTAAATATCTTTCCCATATGTTCATCAAATTTAACAGTCTATCATCAAAAATGTTCTATTTAAACTAGTGATTAATTACGATCTATTAGCTTTCATTTGGAAACACTTGTTTCACTTTTTTTAATTTAAAATTTAAACGACAGCCCAAAGAAAGCTGTCGACGTCTTATCAAGAGAAAATGAACTAAGAGAATGAATTCCCGTGCCCCATCATCCCGCCTACCCTCAAGAAATCAACCAATCAGGTTCTTCGCTCAAAATGTGTCCAAGCTAAAAATAGCATGAAACTGTGCACATATGATGGTTACAAGGCTATATGGGTAGGATTCCTCTTCTTAGTTCATATTAATCTCTTGGTCTTATTCTATATGGTTGACGTATGACGTGCTCTTGGTAAGGGACAGCTTGGGGCCGGGGATTCTCAGTTAACGTTTGGTTGTAGCCCACTCTCGTACCCAAAGCCTTCTCAGCTTTTTAAGGAAAAGTGGAAAGCTCATGTAGCACACAAATCGACCGTTAATTTGATTGGTCTATTTTATTTATTTATTTATTTATTTATTATTATTATTTTTTTATTACCAACTGTTTCCGGTTTACAGTCAACGGTTGAAATTTGAATACTTTACTGTACACATCTAGGGTCTA